TGCAGGCTGATAGAAATTCGGGAATTCCCCCTGTGACTACACGGCTGCCTGAATTTTCCAGGTGGGAGGGGGGCATGCTCCCGGACCACCCTAGCACGCCTTTACTCAAATATCGTATCAACACCTGCCGTTTCCTGAAAGCTAGATCCGCCCCTGAGAACTAGCGTTGTACATCCAACTTGCCCTTACACTTTACTTTGCATCGATACCTCTTCTTTTATGTAGTTATAGGTTCGAACGTCAGACGTGGTCAAGTGGCGATCGTTCCCATGTTAATATATATAATATATGTTACTGGAATAGTAATCAATAATATAATTATAAGCAGTATGAGTGTAATATAATTAGGCCTAAGCTTATTTCTGTATTCTTTGTAGCAATTATTCATCGAAAAACACATAAAAAGCACTTAGTGTTCTACTTGGTTAGTTATCGCGCTCTAAAATCGCAATGATTGCAATTTGTATATTGAATTATGCCCATGGTTCCTGGGTGGAGCATAGGCCACTGATAAAACTTCGTCACCTGACTCGATGTGGGGCGTTGTCTGATGGTGTCCCGGTGTGTCCCTCGGCTTTGACCGACCTCCTCCATGCAGTTTTCGGACGGCCTTTAGTTTGCCTTAGTTTAGTGCTTGTCTGGCGATGGAGTCTCTAGATTTGCGCAAGGTGTGGCCAATCCACCTCCTCTTTCTAATGGTTATTGAGTAGTAACAATATCATTTAACATCATCAATAGTATTGAGCGAGCGCTGTTCACTTGTTTCAGGTGCGCAGCAGCACTGCGTGGATGCTCTTGCCTACGTCTCGACGCTCATCCCCAAGTCGATCATGTAGCGCTACACGTCCCTGCTGCTTGAGCATCGCCGCATCACTCTGTGTGGCCCCAGCGACACCGGCAAGAGCTACATAGGTCACCGGCTGGCCGAGTACCTCGTGCTGCGGTGAGTCTCACCTTCTCGAACTCTGTGTGTGTGTGCACGACCAGTCTCTGTCTGTGTATACCTGTATGCGTATGCGTGTAACACCGCTCAAAAATGCACATCTCAAGATTATCATAGCTCTAATTACATTTTGTAGAGTCGATAGCTTTGCGAGCGAGAACTTGTTGCGACAACCGTGCTTGTTTACCCAGTGGCAGTGCTAATGTGAAATGATGAATGAAGAGAATGATGAATTTAAGTTGATAATCTGTTGGAAATCCTAATGCTGTTGCTAATGCTAATGCTGCTAATGTTGCACATGTACATCATATTCAGAGAGTCGGACAAGTGTGATTTCAATACAACATGTAATCATTTATTGATTATACTACATCATACGTAACATACAACAAACATAATACGTCTGATCTTGTAAGTAACATCGACTGTTTGTGCTATCGATAAGCGATTAATGACGTTGTTGCATGCAGGTCCGGTAAGGAGTCATTGCCTGGAGACATCCTGCTGACCTACCGACGATGATCATCCTCAACAACCTGCTGGGAGAGGTAAGTGACCTTTGTATTCTCCTTGCCTTTCTCTCTGCCTCTCTCTACCCCTCTCATTCTCTCTCTCTCTCTCGCTCTCTCTCTGTGCCTCTCTCTGCCCCTCTCTCTCTCTCTCTGTGCCAGGACGGAGAGGACAGGGAGAGAGAGGGAGGAGGCGGCGGCGGCGGCGGTGTCTCCCCCTCCTCTCTCCTCTCTCATTCTCTCTCTCTCTCTCGCTCTCTCGCGCTCTCTCGCTCTCTCTCTGCCTTTCTCGTTCTCTCTCTGCCAGGATGGAGAGGACAGTGAGAGATGGATGAGGAGAGAGAGGGAGGAGGAGGAGGAGACAGGGAGGAGGAGGAGAGAGAGAGGGGTAGGAGGAGAAGGAGAGAGAGGGAGGAGGAGAGGGAGGCGTCTGTCCTCCTCCCTCCTCTCTCTGCCCCTCTCTCTCTCTGTGCCTCGCTCTCTCTCTCTGTGTGCCTCGCTCTCGAGAGAGAGGGAGGAGGCTGAGAGCGAGCGAGGAGGAGGAGGAGAGAGAAAGGAGAATGAGAGCGAGGGAGGAGGGAGGAGAGCGAGGGAGGAGGGGGAGGAGAGAGAGGGAGGAGGAGGAGGGAGAGAGGGAGGCGGAGGAGAAGGAGAGAGAGGGAGGAGGAGGA